CCTGACTCGGGGTGAGAGGTGTTTCAGAAGGGGGTGGCAGGTCTTTGGGGCCTCTCCTTTTGCTGTTCTCTGCCTAATGCCTTTCTTCAGGAAGCCCTGGAGCTTGCTTAGGACCTTTCATTTTCAAAGCCACGGGGTTCTGCTTGACTTTGTGGTGGTGTCCATGGGACGGTTTGGATGGGGCTTGTCGCAGGATTGCTGCTTACTGTGAGGGGGTGGGTGGTTGTCAGCAGTGACGACATGCTCAGAGGGTGTTTGCAGTGACAGCCTGGTCTTGTTCCTTCTCGTACTGGCTGGCAGAAAGGGGCTGGGTGACTTTCTGCACGTTGCATCACGCTGTCACGACCCATGTTGTGTGTTGGGTGTTTTTGGGCCACAGGGCATGTCAGCACAGCTCAGGAGCCCTGGGTTCTGCTCTTCGTTCTGTATGTGCACATCAGGGGTTGTCCGGGTTTCGCAAGAGCTCTCCCCGGTGTCTGATAGGAGAGAGGCACGACAGAGCTCCTTTTTTGAATCATCGTTACTCTGGTTTCCCAGCTTCTCCCCCACCCCTTCTCCTGACAGGGATAGTGCGGCAGCAGTGCCAACCAGCACCGAGATGTGGAAGCTGTGGGGTAGGCAGGCTGGGTCTGGGAGGCTTTCCTGCCCCATCCGCAGGCAGGCGCAGGCTCTGCATTCTTGTGGCACTGTTGGGAATCTGTGTTATCGTCCGTCAGAGCGAGCGGGAGCATGATTCACCAGAAAGTCCTTCGGGAATGCAGTTGGGTTTCAGGTTTCTTGAACTATCAGTGAGCAATTCCGGGATTGGGAATATGTCAGCCCCATCTGCTCGCCCGAAGCTTCCTCCTCGCCCTTTGCTGCTGTTCAGACCTTACTGGAGGAGGCTTCCTGAAAGCAGTTTTTGTTGTTTTGTTTCGAGGTTTCTGGTCTGCTAAGGTCCCAGTCTTTGATTTAAAGCTGTGGCTTTTCAGATTTACCAGGCGCAAATACTCTCCACATTGAGCTGTAGTGCTTCGTTCAACAGAGATATTTATTGTGCCTTGTAAGCCTCGCTCCCTGCATGAAGGTAGGCTGAGTTGTTCCCTCATTTAATGACAGGGGAGTCGAGGCACTCAGAAACAGTACATCTTGCTCGGGGTCACTTGTGGAATCAGTGGCAGCTGGGGGGTGGAAACCAGGACTCCTGGCTCCTTGCTTTAACCACTGGGAATTAAGTTTGCTATTGTCTTTAAAACTACTGGGCTGGAGTGGGTGTGTTGCTAAATTGCAGAGGGAGCCAGATTTCTATGCAATCTCCTTTTTGTCATGTTCTTTTCAAGATGTTTTGGATCATTTGTCTGCCTGTGTCAGTGTATCTACTTTCTAATTAATTCTCTTCTGTGGCCCAGATGTGTGGCATGCCTGCTGGAATCTAGTTTGAATCGAGGGGCGTATGCAGGGAGCTTACGGCAACCGAGATGCCTATCGGCATGCTGTGACCAGACAGATGGGAGGCCGGGGTGGATCCCTGCTACGCATCTGCAATAGGATCCAACTGTTGCTACTCCCGAAAGCAGAGTGGAATCTGCAGGCAGCTGCTTCTGGCGCTTCTCCCATTAGGAACTGAGGGGACTGCGGTCGGTCTCAGTGAAGGCTGGAAGAGGAGGGCTTCCCAAGGTTGAGCCAGGGCTCCCTGTCAGCCCTGAGTGGCTTTCTGTCCTGCAACTGGCTGAGGAGAGGCACTAGATGTCCTCCTGGGAGCCCCAGCCTACTCCCAGAGTGAAGGAAGATGCCCCCCAGATGCGGTGTCCTGGAAGGACCTTGCAGCCAGCAAGGCTCATCCTTGCTGCAGACAGCATCCGCAGGTTTCGTTGTGGTGGCTGCCGGGTCCTTTGGGACGGACACGTGTGTTCCCTGCCGTCTGACCTGAGAACGAGATGGGTGGGGGGTACATCTCGAGTGCTAGCCTCTGGACGCTGCAGGCCTGCTCTTAGCGGGGCCCCCGTGCTCTTCCTCCCTCCTGGGGCGTTCCCGTGGCCGTGCTGTGCTGTGCAGGCTTGTGCTGCAACACTGCTGATGAGCGTTCATGTTTTCAGCGAAGGACTTGGGGGTCTGTTTGGAATGCGATACCGTGTCCGCGCAGATGTGCCGCAGGCAGACCTGCATCTCCTGGCCCGTTGTCGGTACAGGTGGCGGTGGCGGCACCTCCTCAGCTGCTCTGGCCCACCCTGCTGCCCGTGGGCTCGTGACCCTCCAGACTGCGGCGTGTTGCAGAGACCGCCGAGTGCGGTGCGGCAGGCGGGGGCTCTGGGCCACCAGCAGCGGGAGCTGCTGCAGGGCTCACTTTCTGGAATGCTGTCTGGCAGCAGCCTCTTCCAGCAGGGCTGAAGGCTCCCTGGGGCTGGCCAGCCAGCGGCTGCAGGCAGCAAGTGTGCTTAACGCTGTAGCTTGTGCCATATGGACCTTCTCCTCCTCCCCGCTTGCCCTCTCCATGTCTCCTTCCCCACTCTGCTTCCCTCCCCCTGCGGGCGGTTTGACAGAGCAATTGGGCAGGCACTGGGACGGCAGCTCTGACATAAATCTCTCCTGGTGTGGAATGAGGGGTATAAATATCCAGAGAGTGATGTGATCTTTCCAGCTGCTATTAATAGGTCCCTGGAGAACAAGAGCGAGTGAGACTGGCTGACACTTAAAGGGCTAGCAACTCCCTTATGTGCTGTGAAAATTAATCAGCGCTGTGGCTCACCATCTTCCTTCAGGCTAGAGCAGAGCCCTCTCCGAGGTGTGTGGGGAGGAGGTGGAGGAGGAGGGAGCAACTAACGATTTGCTAGTTAGGAAGCAGCGATAGGCCAAGCTGTGCACCACCGATCCCACTAACTACCTCGGAATGCCTGGGCGGGCTGCGCGGTAGCACTGTTCGTGCAGGCTGCTCCCGGCCAGGTGCCGCGCCGTGCTCGCCAGCCGCCGTCTCGGCCTGGCCTGGCAGCGAGGCAGGTGCTGAGGAGCCCCTTCCGAGGGCAGGGAGCTCACTGCCAGTGGATGGCAAGCTGCAGCCTGCGCCTTGCGCGACCACCGTCTTTCAGGGATTGCGGACCTGCCAACTGCGCCTTGCTCTTTGCTTGTGTGCTGTTTGCCCCAGCAGAGCAAGCGCTCAGCTTTTGCCGGCGGCATGTCTTCAGGCCTACCTTCAGCGAGCCAGGAGCGGCGCACGTAGCGCTGCCGAGCTCTTGCAGCGCTATTTAGAGATGTGGGGTTTGGTCTGGAGCCAACGCTTCCTGTCCCTGGGTGGCAGGAGAAATCTGTGCACAGCATCTGGCCTGCATGGTCCAGATGGGAGGAGCAGACCACAGGCCCAGTAACCCCCGTGTGCTGGGAATTTTCTCTGCCTGTGTGCAGGAAAGGTTCTTGAGTGCGCTGTGGGGGTGTCATGCAAACCAACATAGCAGATGTAAGCAGAGAGTAATGCCTCTGCTTCCCCAAACACATGGTTTACTCTCCTTCCCCCCTGCTCCCCCAGAAGTGGAGAAGACGGTGACTGGCAATGGGGGTCTTTGCTTCTTTGGGGTCACTGGCTGGGGTAGCGAGAGGCCATAGCAGAGAAATGTGGGCCTCTGAGGCAGGAAGAATTACATGCTCTAGATGAGGAAAGCCAGGAGTAGTTCCCATGGGGATGTGCCTCTCTGCACTGGTGCTGTCTCTGAGGGCTTAGCAGCGAATGTGGTTCATGCCAGGAAGAGTCAGTAAGCGCTATGTGTGAAGGTCAGGGATGCCCTCTCCCCGCTCAGGTAGCCCCTGAGGTGCCACGCTGCCTGTGCTGTGTTGAAGAAGGCTACTTGCTGCGAGTAGGAGGTAGTTGTAGGTCAGAGGGATGCGCCTTGCAGTTACCGGGGCTGTCTGTTGAACTGAGGGTTGGTAGCAGCCTTCCAGTAGGCGCCATGTGCTCAGGCACTGTGGGGCCATGTCCCAGTCTTCTCTAATGCCCGTGCAGGGCTCCAGGGTGAAGAATCCCAGCACGAGCCCCCCCCTCAGGGGGGCTTCTGCAGCGTTGCTCAGCTGCATGCACGTCCTCCGTCCCAGAAGCCTGCACGCTCTGCCCAAACCGCCTCTTCCCTGAACTGCTCTGTCTCAGCCCACGGGACTGTTGAGAGCACGGGGCCCGGTCTGGAGCAGGAGAGCCTTGCCCTGCTATCCCAGCAGGCCCGTGACACGTTGCATCATCCCGCTGGGCTAGAAGCTGCCACTGAAGTGGCCGCTCCCTCGTTCAGGGCCTTGGAGCAGGAGCCAGAACAGTCCCTCGGGCCCCTGAGAGAGACAGGGGTGCTGCTTTGCTGACAAGCACCTGTGCTTCCCAGCTCTGCCCTTCCCTTGTGACCCACTGCTGCCTCCTCATCTTGCCTCGATCTTCATAGTCCTCCCGTGCCCCATCCCAGTGCTCCCTTGCATCAAGACCATTTTCTGTCTGCTCAGTTGGCTCCTGTGTGTTCTGCAGAGGAGGGGAAACTTATTTAGTGGCAGAAAGGGTCCCTGAAACCAGTAGGGTACCAGATTTCTGTTGAGGGTCACAAAGTTGTCTGAGCTCAGGGAACACTCACAAAACAGCTCTGAGGATCCTTCTGCTGACCGAAGGGCCCGGCTGGCATGGAGCACCCTGTTCTCGTCATGGCCTCAGAAATGAGAGCTCTCATGTCCGTGCCTGCGCCTTGTAGTGCTGGCAAGCCTGCTGTGCCTGAGCGGGAGCTTGCTGCTTGTCTGCACGCAGCTAACTGCGGAGCAGGATCCTTCGCGCGGAGGGACCAGGGCTAATTTCCAGCAGGAGCTGCTGGGGCTGTGCCTGCCACAGGCTCTCTCTGCCCCTGTGACCGTGCGGCAGCCCCCGCACCCTGGCCCTGGGCAGTGCCCCTGGCAGCTGCGCCCATGCCGGGGGCACCATGCCCACTCGCTGCCCTCTTCTCTTGCAGGTTTCTGACCAAAGGGCCTGGGAGCACCCTCCACTGGCGCTGTGGGAAGCTTTAGCCAATCCAATGCACCCTGACAACAAACTGCCCAGCCATGGCAAGGCAGGCAGCAGCGGTGCCCCAGCCCAGCACCACAACGTGAGCCAAGCACCCACCTGCAACCTGGGCTCTAAGGGTGTGGGGGCAGGCAGCCATGGCGGCAAGGCCACTCAGATCTCCCCTGGCAACTCTGGACTGAAAAACAGCCAGACCACTGTCCCAAACTTCAGCTCCTTGAAGGGCAAGGTGAAACGGGAACGAAGCATCTCTGTGGACTCTGGAGAACAGCGAGAAGCCAGCACCCCTTCGCAGGACACAGATTCAAAAGGTAACACTCTCCTAAACCTTGCTTCAGCACGTCCTCCTTGCAGTTGCTCCAAGCGTCCTGGCAGGACCTGGGATGGGAGCAGCTGTGAGCATCTTGGGTTTCTGTGCTGCGGCTTCTGTCCGGGCTTGTCCTGGCTGCCTGTGCATCTTTGCATTGCTGCTTGTCGCATCCACGGTTTTGGGAACAGAGTGGCTGAGCACTGTCTTTACGTTTTGTTCCCTAAACTGTTTGTTACACTGAGGATCTGGGACTCCGGTGTTCCTGGGCTGCCAAGGCCAGCTAAGCAAGAGCGTGGTTCACTGAAACTGCACCGAACGCCCCTGCTTTGCAGTGTCCAGGCTTTCAGCTCGGGACTGAGTTGAGTTGTTTTCTGTCTCCTTGCTGTTGGCAAAGAGCTGCCTTTGTGGTGTTCTTGCAGCTGCCCAACGACTTGGTCGTGGTTAGCAAGGAGGTGCTGCGAGGGTCGCTGTCTGAACAGTTCTGCGGTTTCGTCAGCGATGGATGACTCTTGTGTTACAGCACGTGGCTTCTGGAAAAGGGCTGAGTCAGTGCTTCCAAACCCCCTGGCTCTGCTGTCCTTACCAGCCTGCCCTGTAGCCTCTTGTGTTCCACCCAGCTCTGCGCTCAACGGCTGCACAGGACTCTGGGGCATCTTGCAGGGGGTTGTCCGAGGAGAAGTCCCAGTGGCATCCTTGGTTCCAAGCTTCATGCCAAAAGCAGAGTTGCTGTTCTGGCTCGTGCCCCCAAGCATTTGCCTTCACAGCCAGAGCTGTGTTGCCTGATGGGCTTAGGCCAGAGCCGTGCCTTGGAAGAAGGGGTAGAACTTATCTGAGCAGACCTCCTTCCCCAGGAAAGCTTTCTCCGCATGGTGTTGGGGGGGTTACTCTATGCCACAAATCACAAGTATTTGTAGCTTTATCCCAGTACTGTCTCGAAGCACAGACTTCCACAGGTAAAGTGTTAAAATGGCTTGATCAGGAATGCCCGAATCTCTGATGTTGCTGCTGCAGTACACTGTTAGATCATGTGAATATGGCCTGGAAACCCCTAGATGATATAAAAAAAGGGAGGCTGGATGCTGTCAGATTCAAATTAAAGCACAGGACTGGAAGTTTACCCATCCTGTGTCTGATTCCTTTCCCTGAGTCCCTGAGTCCCTTTAGGCAAGCAACCTCCTTTCTGAGCTACATCAGCCCCATCTGAGAAAGGGAGGGATTGTCTGAGTTTACAGAGGGCGTAGACCCCTGTCCAATTGATGTCTGTGACGGGACAGTCTGTCTCTTGTTCCTGCAAAGGATGTGAACGTGCCCTCCCATTCCATTTTCAGGTTTTAGTTGCTAAATCACAGATCCCTTAAATTCAGGGTTAATGCCTAAAGCTCTCTGGCTTGGAACAGCAGTTGGACATGTCCTCTGTTTGCAGACTCCTTTTGGACAGTAAGAACTACCTCTCGTTCTGAAGTGCTAGCTCTCTCTTGCAGGGGAGTCTCTCTGGGTCTGTCTGCAAAGACAAGGAGCCCAGACTGAGAAGGTGCCTTGCGATCTTTACCCAGGCTGGGCAGATGTCAGTGTAAGGCTTCTTGCCCAGCGTGTCCCAGCTGGGTTGGCAGCGCCAGCATGCAGCTGGGCAGGGCCTTGGCCTTGCCAGCCTCTGCCAGGTCTCCTCAGCTCTTCTGAGGGCTCTGTCTCTTCGCAGGTGAGGTGGCTCCCCGCAGCAAGCGACGGTGCGTGCTGGAAAGGAAGCAGCCCTACAGCGGGGACGAATGGTGCTCTGGGCCAGACAGCGAGGAGGACGACAAGCCCATCAGCAGTGCACACAGTGAGTGTCTACCTCCTTAGCAGCTCAGAAGCTCCAGTAGAGCCAGGTCCTTCCCACAGCTCAGCAGGGCAGACGGCACTGGCAGCTCTAGCTTTGCCTGCCTGCACTGCCTCAGCTGGCCCTGGGGACGGGTGGCCCATTGCAGTGAGTGGTTGTTGTGCTGGGACAACTCTTGCAGCCACGCAGCAAGGTGTGAGACCTATTTTGTGGCAATGCTGCCAAGATACTGGAGAAGAAGGTGTTGAGGTGGAACATCCCTGCTCTATGTTGCTCTGGCCAGACTAGCAGCTGAGTTGACACCTTGTGAGCGTGCCTGGCTTAACTCTGGTTAAGCATCCCTGCCCTGGTGATAGTGGCAGCAATGTACCATGCAACATGTATTGCCCTTGTTGCAGCACTAAGTCTGTGCCAGGCCATCCACCCAGGTCTGCAGCTGTGCTTTAAAAGCAGACAAGTCTGAAGAGGCTTTCAGGGTCCTGATGGTGGTTCAGGCAGGGCTGAGCTTGCCAGAGTGTGCACCTTTTGGGACAAGAAATGGTAGGTCTCTCCTGTTTTCCAGAAGCATCAAATCTCTTTGATTTGTTGTATTTAGAATTCAGTTTACATTCAAATTGCAACAGGGAGACTATCTGAGAGAACCAGGCAAGGTCCTGTGGGACCCAAGGGTCGCATCTGATGGAAAACATGGGAGTGGATAAAACCAAGTGAGGGTGGCCTTTGTGCCGGCCTGCGCGCTGCACCTGCCGCCATCAGTAGCTTGTTCCCTGTGCTCCCGCAGATTGTAATGTAGCAGATCCTGCAATGTCCACGGCCTCACAGCTTGGCCCAGGGTCCAACCCGCTGCCGAACCTCAACGAGACCAGTTCTGCCAGCGTGCCTCATGGTGCTGCCCCCGGCTTGCGGTCAGATGCTGCAGGAGGTGGAAGCGGTGGAACAGGGAAGCCGCCGTCGCAGTTTGTTTACGTCTTTACAACGCACCTTGCCAACACGTAAGCAGCAAACCCATCCATTCCTCTGGTACAGAGCCAGCCTGTCCCTCCTGCCTTTCAGCACAAGAGTGCCAGGCACACCTGTGTCTCTTCACTTGCACAGAGCAGGTTCCCTCCGAGGGTCAGGAATTTTCTGGCAGCTGCTGCTGGTGGGCAAACTTTGTCTTAAACACACGCTTCCCCCCAGCACTGTCCAGCGCTGCCTTCTGCAACATGTGCCGCAGAGCGTGTCTGGTCAGCATCCAGGGAGGAGTCACCCAAAGCAGCGTGGACTGCAGGCTGACGTGGAAATGCTGAAGGGGCTGGGTGTCACGGGGAGTGCCGTGCAGCACTTGGTCCTCTCCACTCCATCCCTCCATTCGTCCTGCATGGTCTCAGCCACGCAGCCATAGCAGCTCTTTAGTTTTGAAGTGCTGCTCTACCCCAAGTTCAGGGCGGTAGCTCCAAGAGCATCTCGGTGCCAGCCACCTCAGGGCAGAAGCACAAGGCAGAGCCGAGCGCCCAGCATGGGACGTGGGAAGAGGGAAATCCCAGGGCAAGTGATCGTCGGTTGGTGAACCTCGCTGGGGCCTGTGCACAACCCGGGGGAGGACTCTGAGAATATCCCCCCCTTCTTGGTGACCTCCAGAGATTTCCCTCTTCCTGCAGGAATGAGGAATGGCAGTGGCACCTGGGGCCTACTGTGGGTGGGATGGGGCACGGTGCCTGTTCTCGAGCAGTTTGTGCTCTCTCCCCAGAGCTGCAGAAGCTGTCCTGCAGGGCCGAGCTGACTCCATTTTGGCCTACCATCAGCAGAACGTCCCACGGGCAAAACTAGACCAGGTAGACCGGGCTGTGAACCAAACGCTCCTGTTGGCACACACTGCCGACTGCTGACCCTTCCCCGGTGGGCTCCTGGCTCAGCTGTGGAGGAGGGTTTGTCTGAAGGCCCTTCCGGCGGGGTGGGAAGCTGCTCTGCTCTGGAACCTCTTCAGAGCGTGTCCCGGCTGCTGTCTGCTGTTAAACGTTTGGGATGGGGCAGGGCATGCGGCCCTGCAGCCGTGTGGTCAGAGAACCTGACCGTGGGTTTCCAGAGCATGCCGGCGTCTTCCCCATGAGGAGCAAAGGCAAAGTGCCGCGGGGTGTGTTTCTGGGACAGAGGGGTGCGGGGAGGGAGGCCTACCTAGGGTTTCTCTTGCTCAGGTTTATTTCCCTTTTCTCTGCCAGGCACCAGCTCCTAAAGTACTGGGGGTTGCTGAGCCGCTTCCAATTAACCCTCCTGCTGCCAACACTCCGCAGTCCCAGCCACCGGCACCTCAAGCAAGTCAGCCGCAGCCTCCCCCGCCGCAGCCTCCACCCCCGCCTCAGACCATCAGCCAAGCGCCTTTGCCTGCCCCCAGCAGCCTGCCCCAGGAAGGGACAAGCGAAGATGTCCGTAGAGATCTGACTCCCAACTCTTTGGGGAACAACAGCAGCAGCAACCAGCCTGGAAGTAACCACCCAAATACGCCCACTGCCTCTGCCAACACCATGCAGCCCGGGCAAGTGGACTCCTCCGCCGTGTCCAGCTCCAGCCTGCTCGGGGAGGGCCCGGGCCCGGCAATGCCAGGGAACAGCCAGGCAGGCCTGGGCCCCAGGAACCCCCTGAACTCGGAAGGGCTCTCAAAGGAGCAGCTGGAGCACCGCGAGCGCTCTCTGCAGACCCTGCGGGACATTGAGCGCCTGCTGCTGCGCGGCGGGGAGGCCGAGCCCTTCATGAAGTCTGGCCAAAACGTGGGCGAGGGCGGGACTGCCCCTCAGCCACAGGCTGCCCCTGCTCAGCCCCCCGCACCCCCCGCCAGCATGAAGAAGTATGAAGAGCCTCTGCAGTCCATGATCTCCCAGACCCAGAGCCTTGGTGGGCCCAGCCTGGAGCACGAGGTGCCCCACCACCCCAGTGCTGACATGGGGCAGCAGATGAACATGATGATGCAGCGGCTGAACCAGGACAGCCTGACACCGGAGCAAGTGGCCTGGAGGAAGCTGCAGGAAGAGTACTATGAGGAGAAGCGGCGTAAAGAGGAGCAGATCAGCATCCATGGCCGGCCCATGCAGGAGATCATGATCCCACAATCAATGGGGAGCATGATGATGCGTGGGCCCCCGCCGCCATACCACAGCAAGCCTGGCGAGCAGTGGCCACCAGGGATGGGCAGCCAGCTGCGGGGACCCATTGACGTGCAGGACCCAATGCAGCTGCGGGGGGGGCCACCCTTCCCGGGGCCACGGTTCCCTGGGAATCAAATGCAGAGAGTTTCCGGCTTTGGAGGGATGCAGAACATGCCCCTGGATGCTCTTGGGCCGATGAACGCCATGCAGAGGCCGGTCAGGCCCAGCATGGGATGGAGCGATGATATGCCTCCTATGGGAGGCCCTGGTAACTTTCCACAAGGCACCCTGCCCTACCCGTCAGGGCAAGGGGACCCTGAAAGGTTCATGAATCCTCGTGCCAGGGAGGAGATCCTGCGGCATCAGCTGATGGAGAAACGCCCTGTGGCAATGCAGAGGCCCATGGGGATATCTGGCAACTCCATGAGCCAGGGCATGGAAATGGATAGGATGATACAGGCTCACAGGCAGATGGATCCATCCATGTTCACTGGGCAGATCACGGGGGACAGCCTGAGCAGTGCACCCATGGGAATGGATTTTGCAGGCACTCGGGGGATGCTGAGCCCCCCCATGAGTCAGTCGGGCCTTCGGGACATGGACGCACCCATGGGCCCTGGCAACCTCAACATGAACATGAATGTCAACATGAACATGAACATGAACCTCAATGTCCAGATGACCCCGCAGCAGCAGATGATGATGTCACAGAAGATGAGGGGCCCCGAGATGATGGCTCATCAGGGCATGAGCCCTGAGGAGCTGGCCAGGGCGAGGGCTCAGAATGGCAATGGCAGTGCAATGCTGGGGGGACCCCAGAAGATGATGATCCCCTCCCAGTTCCCCAGCCAAGGACAGCAAGGCTTCTCAAGCGGGCAAGGGCCTTATCCCAACATGCCCCAGGAGATAGGCAGTGGCTCGGACATGTTCAGCCCCGAGCAGGGCACCATGCCCGTTGGCAGCATCAGTGGCACCACCAGGCTCAGCCACATCCCACTGCCTCCAGCCTCCAACCCCGCTACCGCGCAGGGGGGAAACCTGGCCAACATGCACCCGGCTCCTTCCCGGGGTCTGGGCCGCAGGCCCTCTGACCTCACCATCAACATCAGCCAGATGAACTCCCCCAGCATGGGCCACCTCAAGTCTCCCACCCTCAGCCAGGTGCACTCGCCGCTGGTCACCTCCCCCTCTGCCAACCTCAAGTCCCCGCAGACGCCCTCACAGATGGTCAGCATGCCGCCTACTAACCAGTCCGGACCCCTCAAGTCCCCACAGGTGATGAGCTCCTCGCTGAATGTCCGGTCTCCGACCGGCTCACCGAGCCGCCTGAAGTCCCCTTCTATGGCTGTTCCTTCCCCTGGTTGGGTGCCATCTCCCAAAGCTACCCTGCCCAGCCCAGGAGTCAACCAGAGCAAGCAGACTCTCAGCATGAACTCGTCTACTTCCATGGCAGGACTGGATCAGGGTATGCCAGCTATCTCCCGTGTGAGCAGTCCCTTTTCGTGAGCGTGTGGACGGTGTTTCTCTTGGGCCCGCGTGCTCCTGCAGGAGCAGGGAGACGCTCGTGCCTGTGTGTGCCCTTATGCGTCACGGAGCCAGTCTTCTTTCCCAGGTGTCCAAATAGGGCTTTTTTGGGTAGACGGGAGGGCAAACAGAGCAGCCTTTACTTCAGCCCCAGCTCACGCGCTGGGATACAGGTGGCAAAAGATGTGTCTGTGCTGGGTGGTCACAGCCAGTTTGAAGGGGAAGTCCATCACCGTTCTGGGGCAGGGTCTCTGCGTGAGCCCCCTCAGAGTCCGGAGGACGCTGGGCTGCGCCAACCCCATGTTTCGCAGCCTCCTCTGGTCACTGTGTTGGAAGGAGGGGATGGGGTTACTGTCTGGTGGGAGCAAGCCTTGGTGTGCGGGCACTACTAAGCTGGTGTCTCTCTTGCTTGCAGGTTCTCTCCCTTCCGGGCCTCGGAGCAGCTCCTCCGCACCAGCCAGTAACACCTCTAGCACCATGAATCCCAACATGCCTTTTACTTCCTCTCCAGATCCATCCCCCTCCCAGAACCCCCTCTCGCTGATGATGTCTCAGATGTCCAAGTATGCCATGCCCAGCTCCACACCACTTTATCACAACGCCATCAAAACCATCGCCACCTCTGATGACGAGCTGCTGCCGGACAGGCCAATGCTCCCACCTGGAGGCATGTCAGGTCCGTGCTTCTCGGGCTGGGCTCGCCAGGGCGCAGACTGTCTCAGGGTGCCGGCAGACCTGGGTCACCAGGTGGAGGCTGCCTTAGAAATTGTCTTCTCCCACAACTGCCACATCAAACAGCTTAAATTTGCCCTCATTTGTAATAGTCTGGTCACTTCTGTGCTCTGTGCCTAGGCTGTCCATCAGCTCTTGGCTTGGGGGTGCTGTCTGGAAGGACATGAGCCATCTGGCACTTGAGGCACCCCTTGGCCACAAGCTTTGGAAGTTTTCAGAACTACTCTTACCCTGCACGGATGCGCGGGCCCTGGATTGTCACAGCTCCTGGAGATGTCTCGGGCCTGGGAGCTGCAGGCAGAGGTCTGCTGCTTGGAGCAGACCTGTCATGCTGCAGGCCAGGGACACTGCAGGGTTTGGGCATCTGGTGTTTGGAGTGGAGGGCAGGTGCCTGCATGGGCAAGGCTGTGTCGTGGCATGGTTCCAGTTTCAGTGGGTGACAGCCCGATGTGCTCCACTAGCTGCTGGCGTGGGTGAAGGCAGCCAGGCAAACGAGTGTTTGTCATCACTTGGTGACCAGCCCGGAGGGGAATTCCAGCATGCTGTGCCACTTGATTTAGTGGTTTAAAGCTGTCTGATAAATATTTTTGGCAGTTTTGAAAATGAACAATTAACTTTTTGACTCTTTCACTGCTGAGTAGTCACTTAGGTTGCCCACAGGCGTGCAAATGCATTGGCTCCCTCCTCACACAAACCCCTCTGCAGGCATAGATCGCTCTGCTGTACCAGTGAGCATAGTCCTCCCTCTCAGACAGCATGGGTGTGTGGTGCCACCTCTGTCTTTTTCACTCCTCGCCGCCCATGGAGTTTGGGTGGCTGTCCCTGTGGGCAAGCAGTGCTGAAGGTCATGACATAGGGCTGTGCCCAGGTGCTGAGCCCACCGGGACTCTCAGATAGGTGAGCTGTAAGGAACTGCACATCCAGCGCCAGGCTGGAGGAAGCTGGAGTAGCTCTCTGCTGCTCACCGGCTCGGGGAGCTGGAGTCCGGGGCACTTTCTCCTGAGGTTGGTGCTTTGCCAGCCCATCTTGTGGTGGCGCGCTGAGCATCGCACTCCGGGCCTGGGGCTTTCTGAGCAGGAGCGTGTGCAGTTCCAGGGTGTGGATTTTGCAGCCCCGAGAGATCTGTGGGCAGAGCAAACTCTTCTCTCTTCTTCCTCTCCTCAGGCGTGACGGGGAATCAGCCGAATCAACTGCACTTGAATTCCGTGGGGCCCGGATCCTCTCAGAGCCCCATGGGAATGAACCTGCCTGGTCAGCAACCCCTCTCCCATGAACCACCCCCCACCTCCATGATGTCCTCCCCTAACCCTCTGGGCTCCAACATTCCTATGCACCCCAGTGCGCCAGGGGCAGGTGTGCCCCCCCAGAACCCCATGATGCTGCCCCCGGGGCCCCAGGATTCGTTGAACCAGCAGTGCGGCCCTGTGCCCAACAGCTCACAGATGATTCCTTCCAACCAGCTCGTGTTCCCCCGCATGCAGCAGCCGCATGGCGCCATGCCATCCCCCGCTGGAGGCATGCCCCTGGCGCCCAGCGGCGGCCCGGCCATGCAGCAGCATTACCCACCGGGGATGCCCTTGCCACCCGAGGACCTTCCCTCCCAGCAGCCCAGCCAGATGCCCCCTCAGCAGCACATGATGGGCAAGAACATCCCTCCTCGGATCGGCGACCCCTACCCACCTGTGCTCCCTGGTGTGGCTTCGGTGCTGAACGACCCTGAGCTCAGCGAGGTCATCCGCCCCACACCCACCGGCATCCCCGAGTTTGACCTGTCCAGGATCATCCCGTCGGAGAAGCCGAGCAGCACCTTGCAGTATTTCCCCAAGAGCGACAGCCAGGCCCCCAAATCGCAGCCTTCCAACCTCCACCTCATGAACCTGCAGAACATGATGGCTGAGCAGGCGCCGGTGCGGGCAGGTATGAACGCCCCCAGCCTCCCCGGGCAGCAGGGCGTGCAGAGGGGCCTCGGTGTGCCCATGTGCCACCCCGGACAGATGCCCATGCTGGGCAGGACAGGCCTTCCGCCCCAGCAGGGCATGATGGGCAACAGCATGCACCAGGGCATGATGTCTCCGCAGCAGAGCCTGATGGCCCAGCAGAATTTCATGCTGATGCAGGCCAAGCAGAGGAGCATGTCAGTGTCAGGGGAGATGTATGCCCAGACCGGACACGTGATGTCACCTCAGGGCTCTCTCATGGGGCCCCCACCTCAGCAGAACCTCATGGTCACGCACCAGATGAGGCAGAGGAGTGTCTCCCTAGACAGCCAGATGAGTTACATCCCCGGGCCGGGGAACATGGCGAACCTGCCTTTCTAACCCCGGCTGGTGCTCGGGGGCGGGGGGACAGGGCTGCCTGTACAAACGTTTTTAAACCTTTCTTCGGGGGAGGGTTGGGGGCCAACACCAGTGGAGGACACCACGTGGGATGATTTTCATATCGGATTCACCTCTACACAGAAAACCAGATGTGCAGTAAACTTGATGTGAATTGGGTTTGTTTTTCCTTTCTTTTTTGGGGAAGGGGAGGGTGGAGGGGCTGGGAGTGGGGCTGGTACTTTGAACCCTGAGTGGTGACCAGGAATGTCCAGACCCTGGGGCTGTTTGTAAAGGTTTCGTTTATGGTTTTCCTCTGTCAAGTGTTTTTCTTGCCCTTTTTTTTTTCTCCCCCCTCTCTCTTTTTTCCTTTTCCTTTTTTTTTTTTTTTTTTTTTTC